TTGATGTCGACCTGAATAGTGAGTTAGTGAAATCAGAAGAGCACACAGTGGCGAGATATCTTGGAGAAGTGTTGTCATCTATCAACATTATGGTGTAGTTGCAGTCTTATTGGTTCATGCTCAATATGCTGATCTTATCTTTGAAGGTGGAGAAATAGTATCGTCACCAGGGGACCACCATACCTTATAGATAGAGCTCAATTTCATGATCATAAGACAAGATAACACCGATTAGAACACACAAATGTCCCTTCTTGAGGATAAATTAGTCCAAAGTAGAGAAAAGTGGAGGCCAGCAACACTTCCAAATCATTCTCAACCAGTAAGAGTTTCAAATGCCATGTTTTTGGACACATTGCATTCTATGGTCTAATATGAGGGGCAATCTCTTTCACTGAGCATGGAGCAGTGGAAGAATTTGACAGTAACAAAGAAAGCTGAGGATGTCATAGAGGAGTATCAACCTTTAGATTGAACTCACGCGAGAGCAAAAGTGGCTCTTTCACAACATTTTTAATATCTGTTACATCATGAAGAAAAATGTGTGCAATCTTGACATAAACTGCCCAAATAGTATACAGGTTGAATTTGGCTGCACAGAAGCACACCTAACCTTATTCCATATGTTGATTGAAGATCACAATTGATAGAAGATGTCACAACCCAGCCTGATAGTTTAGAATTAGCAAAGTCAAGAACTACGGTTGGACGATATTAACATTTTATTTACTTTCTATAGATTTTTCAGACTTTTAATATATATATGTATGTATGTATGTATGTATGGTGCCACAAGCTATATCTTTTGTAGGCCTTAAGGGAAACACCAATAGGACTAATTTTGGTGGTCCTAAAAAACAGCGAGTCCGAGGAGCTGATACAAGACATCGCAACCCCTTCTAAGAGAATTGAAGGATGTCCTAGTCGATGGCCTACCTTCTTGGTTGCCACCACTAAGGGAGATCCAACCTGCCATAAACTTTGTTTCGAGATATGTTCATCCAAACTGACCCATCTACTGGATGTGGCTAGTCGAGTACGAGAAGTTGTGGAAGAAGATTACTGACTTAATAGCTAGAAACTTGGTTCGTGAGATTTTTAGCCCATCGGTAGTTTCAGTTCTTGTTGTGCCAAAGAAAGATGGCTATTTATTGTACTAGAATAAATTTTGGAACAACGTACATGTTTCAGAGTTGCGTTAGGTGAACGTGAGCGAAGACTTTGTAATGGGGTTGCCCCTAATACGGTAGGGCAATAATTTTGTTATGATGATGCTGCATCGATTCCTGAATTTTTTTTAAAAGGTGAAGCCTCTCTTTTGCGTTGAGAGTGACGCGGGAGGCGAATTGCGAAAATCATGTCTGTGTACAGTAACGCGGGAGTAAAAAATTCATGATCCCGTATATACTGGATTTCCGTCCCGTGACCTCGAGCAAGAGATTTCCGCTTGTTGCTGGACCCCCATCCTGTTGGACCTTTTTTTATGTTTTGAAATAGCATTAGGGTTTTTTTGTTTGGGAGAACTATTTATATGCTGTTATTTCTTTAGCTTGGAGACCTTTTGTTTTGTCTTATGTATTAAAGAATATTTTTCTCCAGTTTTCTGTATTAGAGTATTTTATTTTTTTATTTCTCTCAAAGTCGTGCATCTCTAATCTGATTGAATCGAGGTGATGATCCCTCCTAGACGTCGAAGGCCTTTCTCCCTCCGAATCTGCTGCCAAGTGTTGTTTGACAGCAGAATCCCACTATTTTCCTGCAACCGGACCGCCGTTTAGTTGCGGGTTGCGCCTCATTTCAACCGTCATCACACCTTCCTCCTTTACCTATCTTACTACCACACCAACCCATCCCTTGATCTTTACATACCATTCAGGAACCTTGGGTAGGTGTCAAGATTTGTTATGGAGACTCTAGTAAATATTATAAAATTATATTTAATCTGATTCTGACATTCGAGAGTATTGGGCAATAAATATGTCATTTACGACCAAATTGATTGCCGTCAATGAGAATACAAAAATGTTTGTAAAAACTTGGAATATGCTAGAGAAATGTTTGGTTATCATTTGAAAATAATGAAAAATGGATTTTGATTATTTTGGTGTTCACTAGCTGATGGCATGAATTGTATGATCGATGAATGTTTATAAGTTTAATTTGAAACAATTAATAGGGTGGACCAAGGGTAATATTGTTGATAGTTATTAAAGAAAATTTATTTAAAATAGAACTAACATCTCATGTAAACTTAATATAAATGAATAGAGTAGGAAGATTATGATGATTTTCTTACATGTATTCAAACACGATATCAACTTGAAACGAGTTATTTGCCATTCTTTCCTCTTTTTCAACCACAAAAGAATGTGTTGATTCACAATTTCAAAAGTAAATGATATGGACTAAAGTCAAACTAGCATAAAAAGTCATCGATGAATTACATCCCCACTCCCTTCACTATTGCGCCGAGGAAAAAAAGGAAGATTTACATGAATATCACTTAAGTCCTACATATTTACAGGCCACCTAACACCTAAACTTCAATTTTACATGCATGCCATCTTATCTATGAATGAAAAAAGTGTATTTGACTTTTTAAAAGTTAAAATAGTGATATTTTTGATATGATATTGAAAATTTGGGGGATATAAATGTAGAACATAAAGTTTACGTGTTGGATATGTAAATATATAGGATTTAGGTGGTGTGTATGTAAATGCCCCCCAAGAAAAAGTTTGTTTCGATTTCAATCACATTGCCTTTTTCTTCTGGTTGACAATTTCTCTAGTAATGCTTAGCTATCTGATTATACAAACCCCATTCCTTATGTTATCTTCCAGTAAACGGTTTACCTATGGATTGCATAACTAATATTCATGATAACTTTATGTCAAACCAATGGGAGGGAATGGTGAGATAAGGTAAGGCTTTTGAACTATCAATTCTTGGTATCCAATGAATACCTTAATTAGATAGTACCACAAAAAACACAGCATAAAAACATATTACTCAAAAATAAAAACTAAGAAGGCATTTACTTACATGCCAACTTTAATTTTTACATGCACTACACAAATCTTTAATATCACATTAAAGACGCCACTATCACCTACTTTTTATAGGCGGAATACACTTTTTCATTCATGGGATTATCACAATAAAGTATCATAATCTAAATATGAAAGTTTAGATGTTAGATATGTAAATATGCAAGAAATGTGTGGTATGCATGCTAAATTCCAAAAAATATCTTAACAACAATAACAAGCCTTAATTCCACTAAGTGGGGTCGGCTACATGAGCCCTTTTTCTCCATTATGTTCTCTTGAGTGTCATATTTTCATTTAATTCTAATAAACTAAGATCATTTTTTATACAACATGCTCTGGTCCTTTTATGTCTATTCACCTTTAATATAAATCTAAAACATCTACTCTTCTAACCTGATCATCAAATGGTTGGCATTTAATGTAACCAAATCATCCAAGACAACTCTTTCTAATCTTATCTACCACTGGAGTTACACCAACCCTTTCACGATTATATTCGTTTCAAATTTTATCTCCAAGTGCAAAGCCACTCATCCCAAAAATAAAATTGAAAAAAAAATCAAATCTAATCAGTTTTTGAGCAAGGCATCTGAGATCTGACTGAACTTAAAATTTTGCTCTGGGTCGAAGTCTCTGATTTCTGGCTCAACTCAGGTGAGCTCGATATGATTTCAGCTAGGCATTGAATTTTAGTTTTGAAAGAATTCAAAGCTTTGTGTTTTTCTATCAGCTCTTCTTTAGCTTTTCCAGAATGTAATAATACAGTGTTCTCTGTTATTATTCTTTTCAGATGGAGAGATTTTTTATAGTTTGGAGTGTTTTCTGCTAATATGAGCAGCTATGTTCTCTCAATTTGATTGGTTATCTACTTCTTCCTCAACCACTGCCTTAAATATAGCAATTTGGTATTCTCTACTGATGATTTTTTGATGTAAACAATTCTCTCTTTTTTTTTCTTTGTACGTTGTTCTCTCTCTCTCTCTCTCTCTCTCTCTTTCTGTCTCTGTCTCTGTATATATATATAGTTTGTTGAAAGGTCGTTGGATCAATAAGTCTAAATCAGGAAAATTAGATGCCACGGATTGCTTATAAGCAAATACCACTCTCATAGATTCATAGACGAAAAATAGAAATAACAAGCTTATGGATTGCACCCTTAGCATCAATAAGAGATCTCTAAATAAACAAATGTTGGGTAGCTGAAGGCTAAATTCTGTTTCATTATTTATTTTATTTTTATTTGTAGTTTTCTATATGCATACCCAGTGAAACAATGATCAAGCGAAGCTTTTCTAGCCACCTGTATCATGACAACTTCAAGTGAACATGTCAAAAAAATCTCAAAATTCTGATTTAATTTATTCGTCATAAACTACTCTCTCTCTCTCTCTCTCTCACATATATATTGTTGAAGAGAACAATAAAGTCTTAATAAATAAAATTAGATGCTACCGATTCATTTGCTTATAAGAAAATATTTCTCTCACGGATTCATATGCGAAAAAAAGGAAAGACCGAGCGCACAGATGGTTTCTTGGCATCAATAAGAGATCTTTAAATAATCATATGGTCGATGTCTAAAGATTATTTTTGTGCAATTATTTATTTCCTTTTTTTTGTAGTTTTTAATATAAATACCCCTTGAATGAATGAATAAGTAAAACTTTTCTAACCACTTAACATGCTGCAACACTACGACTCTGATTGTCATGCCCAAAATTCTCAAAGTTCTGCTTTGAGTTTTTCTTCGCAAAATATTCCCCTCCCAATATATATATATATATAATATCTTATGAAAGAATCACCCACTAAGCTAAGCTAATCTACAATATCTTATGAAAGAATCACCCAATAAGCTAATCTACATGGCGTATGGTTATTCTAAACTGAGTGAATGCATGAGTATCAACTTATTCATGATGCTTTGTCATCTGCAAATTTATTCAGGGCACAAAAGGAGGAGAAATATGCAGCTCGCAGAGCCATTATCCCGATACTTCAAGCTGAAGAAGATGAAAGGCAAGCTCCCATCTCTTCTCTAGCTGAACTTTTTGTTTATTTTTTTTTTCTGAAGATTTACATACATACCACTTAATTCCTTTGTATTTACTTATCCAACACTTCAATTTTAATTTTTAAACATATGTCGCCTACCTATGCATAAAAAGATGTATCTCAATTTTAAAAAGTTAAAACAGTGGTATTTTTTGTGATATGAAAGATTTGGATTGTATAGTTGTAAACAACGAAGTTAGATGTTAGATATATAAAATTTTTAAAAGCCCCTTATTATTTTTTGCAGTACTTGCATACATACCGCTAAATTCCTCTTTACATACTGGTCCAATTTTCACACACACACACACACACACACACACACACACACACACACACACACCCACACACACACACCCTCAACTTGGGCTGATGATGCACTGGAAACTGAGATGATAACCATTTATTGGGCCATAAAACTTTCTCATCACTATAACATCAAAAATCTAATTGTGGAATCTGACTTCAACACTTGTATCAGGATAATTCATAAAGAAGAAGCTCCCCCTTGACATATTCTCAAGTGGCTAAATAAGATTAAGGTTTTCATGAACAATGGTAGAGTAAAATTTCAACTCATTTTTAGAGAAGGAAATAGTTCAGCCATTGTTTGGCTTTCATGGGGAGAAATACTGAACTGATCTCTATAGGAAGGATTCCTCCAGCACAACTAGTTTTTCTTTTACATGGGGATAGTCTGCCCATTCCTTACCTTCATTCTATCTAATGGCTTTATATATATACTTAAGAATCTACAGAAATATATATATACATCCACACCTTTGTCTTGTGTAAGTGGTTATATCTTAAAAGGGATAGTCCCAAAATACAAGTATTGCTCCCAGAAGAAAATAAAGAAAAACAGCAAACAGTACCAGTAACACTCCCAAAAAGAACCATAATGTCCCACTAGCTGCTGTCTTTCCAGTCAAGGCTCATCAAAGCAGTAGTAGCAAGAGATCAAGCTGTAACTCTTAAGTGGGGAATAGACAAAAGGTCCCCATCCATCAGAAATAGAAGTGCAGGGGGTGGGCAGTAAGAAACAACACTGTCAAGTGTAAACATACCAGACCTGGCAAGCCAATTTGCAGGTCTATTCCCTTCCCTGTAAATATAAGAGAGCTGGATATTCATAGACTTTTTAAGAAACTGGATCTTTTTTGCCCATTGCAAATGATGCCAGGAGGAGGGCCTGCCATCTTGTATCAGCTGCAAGAGAATCTGGGAGTCCCCTTCTAGTAGTAAATGTTGCCAATGGCTCCTCTTGGCAAAGGTAATGGCCCAATAAACAACAATCAACTCAGTTTCCAAAGCATCAGTGGCAACAATAGGAGTTTGAAAATAAAGTAAACAATTTCCAGTAAGGTCCCTGAAAACACCACCCACTCCAGCACCCAATTTAGAAAAGTTGTCATCATTATTGATTTTGATATAAGACCATGTAGGTGGATGCCAAAAAACAATAGTTACTTTTGGAGAATGAGACCTTTCATTCTGGGGGAGAGGGCAAATGCAAGGGAACTTCTTATAAAGAATTAATTTATGAAGGTAAGAGATGCGGTTTCTTGTTGCTTTAGATATGGTAGTAGGCTCATCATCAAATTTGGCCTTATTCCTAGCCATCCAAAGGAACCAGGTCACCATTAAAGGCACCATTCCAAGTTTTGCAGAATTCCAACTCTTCCAGCAGGTATTAATATTAAGCCATTCAAGATACATAGTATTAATGTTAAGTTGCTTAGCAAGGTTAGTCCAAACCTGCTGGGCAAAACAACATTTGAAAAACAAATGAGGAATAGACTCCTCCTTACCACATAAAATACATTGTGAGGGTCCTCTTAGTCCTTTAAGCTTAAGTATGTCATCAATAGAAAGGAATCCAATAATCATTCTCCTGTTGAAGAAAGACATAGAAGGGGATAAGCTTTTGTGCCAAATTAAGTCTCCCCAAGTTTTATGTTCCCAAGTGTTGAGTTTCATATAAATTAATTTAGTTAAACTTTGATGTGTACCTCCTTGCCAAATCAATTTATCATCTTTAGATCTATCAAATTGGATTCCGCTAATCTGAATAGCAGACTGTTCCTGAAGAATGGATTTGAGCACAGGTAAAGACCAGGAATTATCCTCTCAGCAGTCAGCCACTTGCAGTTGAATGTTTATATTGTATGAGTTAGACTTCAGTATCTCTTTGGGACACCAAGAGTCCAACCAGAAGTTGATATCACCTTTGCCAAGGTCCCAGAGAAATAAATCTTCTGCTTGCTCCCTGATTTTAAGCATTTGTACCCAGAGCCTAGAGTCCCCTATCTTCCTAACCACAATGTAAGGATGATTCTCCTTGCAGCACTTGCTCCTCATAAATTTAGCCCAAAGGGATTGCTGCTCTCTAAATTTAATCCAAATTTTACGAAGGTTTACTTGAAGAAGATGTTGTAGGCCTTTAAAACCAATACCACCAGCCAAAGTGGGTTTAGTTAACTCTTACCAGCTAAGTTAACTCTTACCAGCTAGCCCAATGAAGTTGCTGCCCCTGACCAGCTCGTAAGAATCTATTAAACACCCGTTCCATTTGTATTTGAATATTTTTCTTCATAGTAGTCATTTGAAGAATGTAGGAAGGAAAAGTAGTTAGGATGATCTTCAACAAAGTAATTCTACCTCCATTAGACAGAAAATGGTTTGACCAGTAGGAAAGTTTGGTAGATATTTTTCCCAAAACATCCTCAAATTGAGTTTGTTTAGTTCTTCCTTTGATCAGTTGAACTCCAAGATATTTGACCTATCTTCTTCACAACATTCTTGTTAGCACTTGAAAAAACCATACTAGCATCTGCATAAATTAAGTGAGAAACAACTACTTTGGATTTACTATGGTACCTGGCATAGTTGAGGGGCAGGAGGTCTTTATTAAACATTCTTGAGAGATGGTCCATAGCTAAAATGAATATAGTGGGAGATAAGGGATCCCCTTGCTTTAGACCTCTAGTAGCAGAAAAGTGTCCCCAAGCTTGCCCATTAACTAAGACAGAATGATTGTTGTCCTTGAGGTGCCTCTGAATGAGAGTACAAAAAGCTTAGTAGTTAGAACATCCAAAATAAAATCCCAGCAGATTGTGTCATAAGCCTTCTTGATATCTAATTTATAAATTAGATTTCCACTTCTGCAAGATTTGTCCAAGTCCAAAAGTAACTCCTGAGCAAGCATTACATTGTCAATAATGGAAAGGCAGATTGGTTCTCACATATAAGTCTGCCAAGGTGAGGTTGAAGTCTTCCAACTATAATTTTACTAATCATTTTACTGATAACTGAAGTAAGACTGATAGACCTATAATCATTCCAATTCTTCTGAAGAGCAGTTTTAGGAATGAGAACAATGTTTGAAGCATTGGAATAAGGAGGTATATTGGATCCAAGGAAAAAACTCTGGATAGTTGAAACTACATCATCTTTGATTATCTCCCATGATTTCTTATAAAAATCTGCTGTAAAACCATAAGGACCAGCAGCTTTATTGCTATCAATGGTTTGGAGTGCCTGCCAAATTTCCTGAGTAGTTTAAATCTGATCCAGAGAAAGGTTAGCAGTGTAGGAAATATCATCAGGTGAATACAAATTTTCAATTGGGATTCTTTGGGTTTCAGACTTAAACATTTTGGAAGTGACTAACAACATCCAGAGCAATGGATTGATTATCAGCAAGCCATATACTTTCAAAATTTTGAATCCTGTGAATGGTATTACACTGTCTTCTGTGCTTGATGCAAGCATGATAGTATTTAGTGTTTCTATCCCCATCCTTAAAGTGGCTGATGGCAGCTTTCTGTTTCAAGAATTTATCCTGTCTGTCAATGGCAGTAATAAGCTTTTCTTGGGCACCTAAAACAAATTCTCCTCCCCACCTTCATCCAAGACCACCTTCTCCATTTCCAGAACTTCCTTTTCAGTGTGCTCCACAGCAGCAAAAACATTACCAAAAACATTCCAGCCCCATTTTTCAGACCCTTGCTAGTATTTAAATGCAGATGAACAAGATTGGACCAATGGTCCAGATTGAAAGAATTAATCCAAGCAGCTGTCGCAATGTTTATGAAAGAGTGATGTTCAAACCACATATTTAGATATCTAAATGGAGCAGGAGAGTAGTTAGATTCATTGACAGCAATAGAAACAAGTAGTGGCCTGTGGTCAGAGCCTGCAAGACTTAAGTGAGTACCAAAAGTGTGTAAAATGTATTGACACCACTTATCATTAATCAAAAATCTATCAAGTCTTTCCCAAATAGCTCCTCTCTTCCAAGTGTATTCTGGCCCCTTGTAACCAATATCGAACAGTCTAGCCTGAAGAATGTTATCAAAAAATAAATTCATTTTGGCTAAATTAGGGGGTTTTCCACCAACCTTCTCAGCAGAGGTAGCTATGCAATTAAAGTCACCTCCCACTAACCAACAATCATCCATAGAGGTACTAATAGTTTGCAAGGAGTTCCACAATGCCCTTCTGTCAGCCTTAGTGCAGCCAACATAAACAAAGGTGGCAAAACCTTTGTGACCACAACTATTAAAAGAGAAATGAACAAACTGAGGATGATCAGCCTGGATATCCAAGTAATCTCTTTCCTGTAAAGATCCAAATTTTATTATTTATGTCAGCATAATGAGAAAAGCCAACAAATCTAGATAGGATTTGTTGAGGATGTTTATGAACCATAGGTTCAAGTATGGCAATACACCAAAGATTGTGTTTTTTATTGAGATGCATAATTCTTTTTATGGAGGAGGGGTGAGCAATGCCCCTAACATTCCAAAAAAGGTAATTAATCATGGTGAGATATTTGGTGTGAAGAGGGCTGAGATCTAGATCTAGTCCTCCCCCTTGTAAGCTGTATGGGTGAATTCTTTTGAGCATTTGGAGGTCTTCCAGTCTGATAATTTTCAGTCAAAAGTTTCTTTTCTTCCAGAGCAAATTTCTTCTTCTTTTTTGCTTTCTGAACTTGCCAGTCTTGTTCCATTGTTTGCTGCATTTCAACAATTTGATTTTCAGAAGGCCTTATAGGTTCTGTTGGGTTCAAACTTCCCTTTTCTTCTAGTACAGATTTCATTTTCTTTTTTGCTTTATGAACTTGCCAATCTTGTTCCAATGTTTGCTGCATTGCAGATAACTGATTTTCAGGAAGTTTTACAGTTTCTGTTGGGGTACCAGGGTGAATAGTTACTGCTTTCTCCTGCACAGAAAGTGGATAAGTCACAATGCATTCTCCCTCTTCCATTTGTGTGCCAGCAGGCATTGTAAGCTCAGAGATTTCTTTAAGATTTGTAATAAGTGTGTTCTGGTGATTTAAATTATCCTCAGCTCCTCTGTGTGCATCCTCCTCAATGGGCTGTATCGCTCCAGTAAGGTTCTCAGAAAACTTATTATTGTTTTCAGGAATGTATTTCCTTTCTACAGCCAATGTGGTTTTCTTCTTGTGAGTAGGATGTAACCTGTAACACCTATCAGAAGTGTGTCCAAATATCCTACAGTGATGACAATAATAAGGTTTTTGCTCCATGACAATTTTCTGCCAGTGCCCCTCCTCCTTAGACCCAAGCCAAATTTCCTCCACCATAGGGAGAGTGATGTCCCTCTCCACCTGAATTCTAGCTACAGAGGGTCTTGAGAAATTAAAAGTAGGGAAGTCCATTTTCAGTGGTCTCCCCAGTGCCAAACCAAATATTAAAGAGAACTTTGTGGTTGAAAAAATGTAGTGGGAGACCAGGTAACTTGAACCAGATTGGGACAATAGGGGGTTCTTTGCTAGGATCAAAGTTAGGTGTCCATTTAATGAGCTTCACGAGGGTACCATCCAAGGAGATATTTTTCTTGGCAAAAGGCCTTGCATAGTCCTCCTCTAATGCCAATTTAATCATGTTATGTCTGCCATCAATCAACCCCAATTGCCTAGCACCAACAAATGGAAAATTGTCAAAATACTTCCTAACAATTTCCATTTTGGGGTGACCTTATTGAAATTTGCCAATGAGTATAAATTTGTTCTCAGCCTTTAGAGTGGCTAGATCTTCATTGCTGTAAAGATGGCAATCTTGCCCTCCTTTACATCTAAGGGATTGATAAGCTGGCATTGCTCTTTACCAACAGCAGCATTATGAAAAGATTGGGGAAGAACCTGTAGGTCAGCATCAAGCACAGAGTTCGTCCATTGCCAACCACACCAGCATAAGTGGCCTTGGTCCAAATTGCATTAGTGACAGCATCAATGGGGGTTAACTCAGCCATCGAAACACTCAACAACAGAAAAAACAGTGAGGAAGCAAACAACAGATAAAAACAACTATATATATATATATATATATATTTAATGCCACCTTATCTATGCATAAAAAGATGTACTTCACTTTTTAAAAGTTAAAAAAGTGGTTTTTTTAATGTGATATGAAAGATGTGTGTTTTATAGAGGTAAAAAAGAAAGTTTAGGTGTTAGATATGTAAATAGAGAAGAGTTGAGTGATGTGTATGTAAATGCCCCTTTATTTCTCATTTTTTAAAAGATTTGTATTTACATATCAAACACCTAAACTTTAATTTTTACCTGTTGCATAAAAAAGATTAAAGATGTATGTATTTCACTTTTTGAAAGTTATTAGTGGTCTTTTTGACGTTAAATGAAAGATTTGGGTTGTATCGATGTAAAAAGAAAAGTTTTGGTTTTATTTATGTAAATACTTAAGAATTGGGTGATTTGTGTGTAAATGCCCCTCCATTTTATTTAATTTTATTTTTATTGATTCATTATTGGAACTTGTTGATTGCAGATTTGTAAAAGAATGGAAGAAATATTTGGAAGAGGAGGCTAGAATCATGAAAGATGTCCCAGGATGGAATGTTGGAAAGAGTTCTACACCCCCGGCCGGTGGGTACCACCGGCAACCGGAGAGCTTCGACCGGATATTTGGTGAGAGAAAAATCTGAGCTAAGCTTGTCTGAAAGAACTTTGAACCCCTAAACTGTTCATAAGAGACAATATTGGTTGAATAGTTTCATGATGCCTTTTTTTTTTTTAAGAAAAAAGGAATTTTTTTAATCTATTTTTGAGGTTTTATAAAACTGTCTGAATAAGCTTTTAACAAGACCAAGGTAATATGTTAAATTCCTGTTTCTGCTTTGTTTACTTTGTTTCTGCTGCAACTTATCATTCTGCCAGTATAAACAGCCATCTATTCAGTCAAGTTTATTTACTTATTTTTTATTTTTTGGCATTTACATACATGTCACTTAATTGTTATGTATTTACATATCTAATTTTGTTTCATTTTATGTAAAAAAATATCGCTTTTAACTCTTCAAAAGTAGAATGCATATTTTCTTGTTAGGTGGTGTATATGCAAAAGTTAAAGCTTATGAATTAAGTGGTATGTATGTAAATCTTTTTCTTTTCTTTGTGGTCTGTTAAGACATAATTATTTACGTACGTCATAGCCACATAGTTTTGCGTGCGTACCTAGTTATTCGGAGGGTATTGGAGGGTTATGTCGGTGTTATTGGGGTTAGTACCCCCAAAAATCTAAACAAATCTTCGAATGACAGCAAAACATATGAGCGCGAACCGCGGAAGATATTGATAGGTTATTGGGAGGTTTTTAAGATGTTATAGCCCCCCAATAATTGAGTTATTGAAAGGTTATTCGGGGGAGTACGTACGCAGAACTGTGTGCGTATGACGTACGTAAATAGTGCTTCTGATAAAAGCTTATTGTTGAAGTGTGGGATGCGATTATTTGCCTTTGCAGGAAATGGCTTGGCTTCTTTGAATTTTAGCTTTCTGAGCTTCAACCATTTTTTTTAATGGGAAGATTTACATACATGCCACTTAAGTCCATCAAGATTTAAACTTCATTTTTATATTTATTTTTGGGGAAGATTTACATACATGCCACTTAAAATCATTTTAAATCCCCTTTTTTTTGGGGTATTTACATTCATGCCACCTAATTCTTTTGTGTCTTATAAGTATCTATCCAAATCTTTGGTGTTTTATAAAAAATATTACAATTTTAACTTTTGAAAAGTGAAATATGCCTTTTAATTCATGGGCAAGATGGTATGTATGTAAAAAAAATCATTCCATATTAATCCACTATTTCAACTGTTAATTCATAATTGTTGGTTCTGATTAAAATAATGCAAAGATATGGCATCTGAAGTCAATTAGCCCACTTTTAGAAGCCAAATTAGAGAAAATATTTTATGAAATAACTAAAGCACCTTCAAAATATACTCTTCTACGCACTATTTATGTATTTTATGGACATTTCAGATTTCCATTTAGAAAAAAAAATAGGCTTTGATAATTTAAGCATTTAACATTCAAACAAATACAATCTTTATAAATTTCAGTCCTAGATGCATTTCATACACATAATCAATAATTGTTATAATTTGATTAATTTCATCATTTATAATAAAGTTGTGAATGATATGAACTACGTGAAGCAATAATCGACACGTCAAATTTAATTTTTATATTTATAATACATTAGTGTCATAAAATTGTGCAAGAAAATATGTATTTCACTGTTAAAATGCTAATAAAAATGATACATTTTGATGTAATGTTCAAGATTTTAGTGTTGTATGTATGTAAATTTGAAAAGTTCAATGTTAGTTAGTGCACATTAAAAAATAGATCTTCAAAACAACTGAAAAGCTCATGCGTTAAATTGGTATTTTGAGCCTAATGAATTGAGCTCATCCACAACACATTTACAACAGTGACTTGATTGGACCAGCTGTACATTCTAACCATACCATTGGGGGTGACAACTACCAAACTTGCCTCTCAGAAAGACTCGTTAATCTTATATGTCGTGATGTTAGTATTCACACGACCTTGTTCGACTGAACTCGCTAGTACTGGATATGCAAGAGAGCTTCTCCAATCAATTTTGCTCATGCTCCTCGAGCTCTTTGCTAGCTCATCAATCAAGCTTGTATGCATCCATCAAGTTGTGTCATCAAGCTTGCTCAACAGTTCTTCAAGACAGGTGGATGGAAAACTCCGTTCCATCATGGATCATGTATATTTATTGACGTCATGACATCCACGTCCGAGAACTTATGAATGATGAGTCTTAATAGACTATGTACAATACAACCTACATCTTAGTATTTATTTATTATTTGTTGTCCTACGAGGGCAAGTACATTATAGGAGATATAAAAAAAAGAAAGAAACGAACTCTCTCTTTCTCTCTCCCTCCTCAACACCCCCTCCCCCGCCCTTCTCTTCCATTGCTCAACATCATCAATAGTAAAATGCACACCTCGAAATCCTTAGCTCCCTTCTATCTTTTTCACAAGGTCTCAGATTATATGAACCAACAAACAATATGTGACTTTACATCCTAAAGGGATTCAACATATTGAAAATTGCAGTGAGCATGTCTTTCATACTCTGATATAATAAGGAGATCTTTGAAACAAAGGAAAACAAAGGGTAATCATGGATTTCACTCAAAACTTCGTGTTGCAACAAATGAATGAATTAAGAGAGAAAATTCATAAAATGGTAGAAGTAAGACAGAAAGTATCGAGAACTCACTTTAAAGATTGTTTGACAAGTCGTACAGGACAATTAGGATCAATAACATGAAGACGACAACCACCATGACACCACCCTTTAAGAGAAGAACTACCACAAATAGAGCAAGGAGAGCCCTGGCTCTGACGTAAGAAGAGGAAGAGAATATAGACGATGAATCACACATCCCCAAAAAGAATCCTTTTGAGTCTTATAAAAGTGAAGAGAGAAGGAGGAGGAGAGAAGAAGGTTGTTAATGAATGCTTTCTCAAGGGAAATTGCTGAAGCTGAGCCACCTAGAAAGTTCAATATCTCTAGTTTAGATTCTTATAAAGAAATGATGAATACCATTGAACATGTAACATAAAATGAATGAGTGGTATGTTTGTTACCGATAAATGATGCCCTAAAATATCATTTGCACCTTATGACACTCAAAGAGTGAGCTCTTCGATGGTTCAACAAATTGACGGTAATAATCAATTCTTCCTTTGACAAATTCATGCAGATGTTCATAGTTCAATTTGTTAGCACGCATAAGCATTAGAAAATCTCTCAAGCTTTATTAAAGATCTAACAAGCTATATTTGAAAGTTTAAGGAGTCTTATCACTCAATTCCGTCGAGAGAAGCTAGATGTTAGAGATCTTGAGACTATCATTACTTTCACTCATACAACACTCATGCAAGGTCTAAGTAAAGGCCATTCTATTATGCACTTGGCTTATAAAAGCTAAAAAAATTGGTTGAAGTCTTATAGATGGTCAAAAACCAAATTTTGGCTGAATAGTACAACTCTTTTGTGAATCCCTCATGAACTTGAGAGTCAAAGGACAAAATCTAGCAAAGAACTTTTCACGAACATTGGGGACCCATAAAGTAATTTATATGAAGTGACAATTGAAGTGCCCCTAGAATACATCCTTAGTAACAACAATAGAAGAGCTTGACCAAAGGTTGGTCATAAAGATATGATACACCAAAAGTATATGCATTTTTGGACCCATATTTTATACTCATTTTTGGTGATATTGCACTTTAATGGAAGATATTTTTATGTTTTCTTGCAGATTGTTGATTTTTAAGACTTGAATAAAAAATGAAGCAAAAAGGATGGAATTTGGAGTCAAAATGACATTTTTGGAGAAATACTTAACGCCGATGACGCTTACAGAACAAATGGTGGATTTTACTCAGCGCCGCCGACGACACCGTTTGACAGAGAGCAACAAATTAAATATGGACCACTGGCGTCGATGGCGCCAATGTCGGTTCAGACCCTGTTTCTAGAAGATTCGATGAATTTGGATGCTTTTTGAAGAGTTTTTAGATGCACCTATTGGAGAACCGACTCTAGGCTCTATTTAGGGCCAAAATTGATCAGAAAAGGGGCTCCTCCTCTTTCCTCCATGTTCGTAATCGCCACACCTCGCCTCCATACATTTTTTTCATTTTCATTCCACCACCATTCAGGAGTCTATTAATTATTTTTCATTAAGAGTTTAGAGTCTTTATGGTGAGATTAAGTGTGAATTCTTCTTTAAGAGTGTTAGAGAAGGAGAAAAGTGAGAGATTTCTTCTTCCTATATTTTCTAGGAGAGGCTACAAGGGATTTGCTCTGAGAAAGAGTTTCAGATAAGTGTTGTTTGTTTATTAGTGTTGTATGAACTTTCTTTTATATATAAAATTCTTTCTCATGAAGTCTGAGTAGTTTCCTTTATCTTTCTCCCTACTCTGAGATATAGTGAAATGAAGAGATAATATGGATGTGCAAATATTAAAATATATAATAAATTGTGATGATTTTTCAACCCAGAACTTAATTTACTTTTTGATCTGTCCAATTTAATTGTTAAAATGTGTTGTGAAACATATGATCCGGGAAATGGAGTATGACTTCTACAACAGAGCGAGAATCACATTTGATTCCATGAAGGAGAATTTCGTTCAAGGAATTAAGTGCAAATAAATAGAGAAATATATATTATTGGGTGTAGAATTGGAGATTTTAGGGTGACAGACTAAAATCCTCAATTCAATCTTAGTGTTTAAAAACTAAAGCGAGAGTTAGCCTTCAGGTGAAGCGAGGTGGGAGCTCTAGAGTGGGAGCCAGTATCCTCCTAGCCTAGGCACGAATTTAGGGACTAAACCTGAGATTAGCTAATGATTTTTAATAACACTGTATCAGGGTAGAGAATTAAAACTGCTATTTGGCACAAAACATATTAAAACTATTTATCTCATCTCATTTTACCAAAATTTCATTGTAATGGCTAGAGAAGATTAAACCCAATAATGAAAGAAGTTGTTAAAAAAGAAATTTTAAAATGGCTAGATGCTGGAATTATATATCCTATGTCAGATAGTGCTTGGGTAAGTCCAATTCACTGTATTTCGAAGAAAGGAGGAGTGACCGTTGAAGAAAATGAGAAAAATGAATTAATTCTAATAAGAAAAGTTGCTGGTTGGCGAATTTGTATTGATTATAGAAAATTAAATGTAGCCACTAGAAAAGATCACTTTCCTTTACCATTTCTAAACCAAATGTTGGATAGATTGGCTGAAAATAAATATTATTGCTTTTTAGATGG